ATCTGTTAAGTAGCTGGGAAGCCCAGGCAGTTGGATGCAGGAGCTCAGGTGCTTATATCCCTTACCTGTCTCTGTTGTGTTCTTTCTCCATCTCAACACTGGTTTTCTTGCCTATTGGCGAGGGGAAGGAAGGAGCCCCAGATCTCTCCAAACCAGCTTCTAACAGCTCAGGTTATAGAGAAAGCCACTTTCCCCCCATTACTCATAGAGGAATTACAGGGAAGGGCACTGACTGGAGCTGTTTGGACATCTTCCCTTAGGCCAGTCTCTGTGAACAAGGGGACCAAGGTCTGCATGGACCAGATCTGAAGCATAGGATCTCACCTAAGGCCAGTGAATAGGTGAGAACTATGGTCATTTTCCTTCTCAGAACCCATGCAGTAGGTGAGGTGAAATTCCTCAAGGGAAAGAGAGTGTTAAAAAGACAGGACAGGGCTGGGGTTGTGGCTTAGTGGTAGAGTGATCACCTAGCATGCATGAGGCACTGGGTTCAATCCTTAGCACCATATAAAAATAAAATAAAGATATTGTGTCCACCTAAAAAATAAAACAAACAAAAAAACTAGACAGTGGATATCCACCATATTGTTGTGGCCTGGTCCCTGTGGGAACACTCCAAGCAGATCTGACTAGGGTGTGGTCAGAGACAGTGGAAGAAAGAGAGGTAGAAGCTTGTGGTGTAGTTGGATAAACAGCCAGCCCTTGGTGGTGACTCATAGAATGGGAGTTCTTGGGAACAATGCACCATGAGGGAGACTGGTGAATTCAGTCTTAGGCACATCGATTTTCGACAGTCCTGTAAAAATGTCCAACAGCACAGGACCACCTGTTACCTGACTCTTCCTTGGGCCAACTAGCCCATATGGGAAATAAAAAGAGCTACTGTGCATAAAAAAGGAATGACTTCATGACATTTACCGGAAAATGGATGGATCTGGAGACTATTAGGCTAAGTGAAATAAGCCAGTCCCCCCAAACCAAAGGTCGAATGTTCTCTCTAATAATGTGAATGCTAACACACAACAAGGGTGTGGGGGTGGGGGAGAGGAGAATAGATATTAAGTAGACTAGACAAAGGTGAACGAAGGGAAGGGAGTGGGGACAGGAATAGGAAAGATAGTGGAATGAACTCTTCTTTGTGTGTGTGTGTGTGTGTGTGTATATATATAAAATACACCACAGTGAATCTCCACATCATGTACAACTACAAGAGTGGGATCCTAATTAGAATAAGAGGTACTTCATGTTTGTATAAATATGTCAAAATATACTGTCATGTATAATTAAAAAGAAAAATTAAAATAAATAAATAAAAAGAGCTGCTGTGGACCAAAGACTTCTCTTTTTCTTGTCTGTATTGAACTATGATCCTCTTTTTAGATAAGCACCCTCTCCTTATTTTGAGGTGCTGGGGATTGAACCCAGCATCTCACGAGTGCTAGGCAAGCATTCTGCCACCGAGCTGCATCTCAGCTCCTCATATTTACTTTTTATATTGTCACACAGTATACTAAGTGTAAATACTTGTCTCTCAAGATTTTTAGTGGTCTGTCCCCAGACCACATTTCTGCCTTTTATTTTTTTCAACTCCTCTTCCACTTTGCTTGTGAATCTTAAACCAGCTGAGCTTCTGGCATTCCATTAACTCATCTGTGATTTTTCCACATCTGGTCATCTGTCTTCACTTTTCTCAAGGCTAGAATGTGTGAATTAGGTTCTGATGGGAGATATGGAGAACAAGAACCTGTTCTAAGAACCAGGCTGTTCACACAGCAGTCCTAAGCTTGTACCTAAGCAGATAGAGCAAAACTTTTAGACAATTACTTAAAAAATCTCAAATCCTCGTGTTTATTATAAGTAAGACATATAATGTCTTCATAAGGCATTATTGATTTTTCCCCCCTCCATGTTAATTGCAAGCCATATCTTCAGGGTAGGTGCAGCCATACAGCATGGGCCCTGAGGGGAGGCTGTGGAGGCACCGACTAGCTGGCCAACAGGCACTTGCTGCTGCTGGGAGAGCCTTCACACTGGGAAGACTTCTGAGAAGAGGTGGCATTTCTGCCTGACCTTTGAAGGGTGCATGATTTTGGCTAACACTTCAGGTAGAGGGTGTAGCTTATACTCAACAGAAGGTCAAGGATATGAGTTTGAGGGTGGAGGTGACTGTGGCATGCATTCTATCTATGTCTATATTACCTTCGAAGACCTGTGGCTTTAGAAAGAAGAAGGTAACAGAGAATTATTATTATTTTTTTCCTACCAGTATTCAGTGACCAAATGCAGAATGTATGGAGAAGGCCAAAGACCCCATAAACCACTTCTAGCCCAGGGACAGAACTCTGATGTGTGTCCTATCGCGGTTCGAGTTACCATGGAGTTCAGGAAAATGACAATTCATTCTTTCAAGTAATAATTAAAATAAGAAATCATTCTACTTCTAAATGTAAAATGAACAACATTTGTAGTTGACCCAATTTTGGTACCTTTTAGTAGAAAACAGACTAATTTTTTTTTGTTATTAAAAAATGAAACTTTTAAAAACTTAAATAAGATAAAGACTTGCTATAAATGGAGTAAAACATGAGAGTAACAACAACAACAAAAATATTAAAAATCTGCCATAAGTTGAGATGAATATAAACTACCTTGGTGCATGTATACTTTAATACACTAGATACACTGATTTTTTTTTTTTTCAATGCTTAAAATACATTGAAGCTGGGCATGGTGGCACACACCTGTAATCCCAGAGGCTCAGGAGGCTGGGGCAGGAGGATCATGAGTTCAAAGCCATTTAGCAAGGCCCTAAGCAACTCAGTGAGACCCTGTCTCTCAATGAAATACAAAAAAGGGCTGGGAATGTGGCTAAGCCTGGTTAAATGCCCCTGAGTTCAAGCCCAGGTCCCCACCCCCACCCCTGCCCCTGCCCCTATGGGGGGAGTGGCAAGGGATTGAGTTTCTTATTTTGCAAAAAAAGTTTTAGAGGAGGAGAAGTTTATTTGGGGCTCATGGTTTAAGAGGTCTCACTTCATAGGTGGCTGGCTCCATTGTTCTGAGCCCAGGGTGGTGGCAGAAGAATGTGGTGGAGATATTCAGGTCAGGAAGTGGCCACCAAGAAGCAAAGAGGGCTGGGGTTGTGACTCAGTGGAGCGCTTGCCCTAGCACATGTGAGGCACTGGGTTTGATCCTCAGCACCACATATAAATGAATAAAAAATAAAGGTACATCAAGAACTAAAAAAAAGCAGAGAGACTTGCTCACCTTGGACAAAATATAAACCCCAAGGGCACACCCCCAGCGACCCATCTCCTCCAGACACCCCCACCGGCCTACAGTTACCACCCAGTTAATCCCAATCAGTGGACTAATGCATTATTTAGGTTAAGGCTCTCATAATCCAATCATTTCACTTCTGAAGTTTCTTGCATTGTCTCACATGAGCTTTTGGGGTGACATCTCATATCTAAACCTTTACACAGTAACAGACCATTGCCTATCAAGGGCAAGGGAGTGAGTTGCCTTTATTTTTATCTGCTTAGTATTAGAATCAGCAGGAGCTATAAATGCTGAGCTTGAGCAGAGATCATGCAAAGGTGAGCTGAGCATACAAAGATTCTGCTAGGAGCCTTGTGGTAAGGAATTTGGTGACTTGGAAGTTTTGTTTTACAAGCTAATTGTGTCCCAGTTGCTGTAGGGGGGCTGTGCAAAGGGAAAGGGGTTTAATGTAGAACCTGCAGTCATGGCCTTAGTCATAGTGTTACCGCTGTTGACTGGTGTCAGTCCTTGCTTCCCCAATGTTGAAGTACAACACCAGAGAAGCACGCAGAGGCAAATTTAGAGTGGAAAATAGAAATTTATTAAAGGACAGCAGAAAAGACTTCTCCCGGAGGAAGAAGGGGACCCAAGAGATGGAATCCATTGAAGGGCGAATGTGTTCCCCTTTTTATAGTTTTCGGTGATGGAATGTAGGTGGGAAGGCCCGAAGGGTTGGGACACAGGTGGGCCAAAGAAGTAATCTGGGCACTTCCGAGTTAGCATCTTCTAGTTTGCTGTTCATTAACATTTCTTTGGGATGGGCTATCTTTAAATCTGTTGGAGGCTGTTTCCTGGACTTCATTAACATTCCGAGAGTTGCTCAACTTTCCCGGGAATTCATTCTCATGGCCTCCATTTTAGATTTCACTCGATATTAGACCCGATTTACCTAACTACACTGACTACCTAATTTTAAATCTGGCTTCAATATGGTCAAGAAGACACGGGAACTGCACCTTCAAAGCTGTTCATCTCTTTTAAGTGCAAGTAACGGAAACACTTCATCCTTCTGAAAAAGAAAGGAAAGAGAGAGAAAGAAAGGATGGATTGAAACTTTTATGACAGTAATGCTACTCTACTTTAGATCAAGTAATGATGAAAATACAGCTTTATTTTTGTACCGGGTTATGCTTAGAAAGCAGGTTGCTAAGTCAGGAAGCTTGGCTTCCAGAGTTCATTGGTAATCCAGGGTGAAAAAAAAAAATAAGTATCACCCAGATGGCAGTTGCAGGAGATTATTGATTGATAATCCTTTCTTGTCCTAGAAGATTAAGTCCGCCTGGTGTAGCTGTGGTCAGCTGACTGGTTTTTAAAAGAATAAATTGTAATTCTGCCAGAACCTGGCGTTGGCTTGAACTGTTTGCACATCAAGCGCTGCAGAGAGCCTGGCCCTCCTTTGTTTACTGAAGCAAGCTCCACTCCCCTGCCCAGGTTGTTCTTTGTTGACTGAAATTAACAACAGGTGGTGAATAGAGCCCCTCCTAAGGGTGCTTTCTTGCCAGGAGGGAAGGGTTCCCAGAAGGAATTGCTGCACCTGGGCCCGGAAGCCAGGGCGGGGCCTCTAAACCGGGGTGATTTCCTTGGTGAGGGTGCATGGTGCAGAGGGAATATGGTCAGAGGGGCATGCATCTGAAGAGTAACCTCAGGTGGTGATCAAGCCATGCCTCCTGCCTTTGTTTGGAATGGATTGTCGAGACATGGATTTATATGAGGACTACCAGTCCCCGTTTGATTTTGACACGGGAGTGAACAAAAACTACCTCTACTTGTCTCCCAGTGGGAATTCATCTCCACCTGGATCACCTACTCAGATATTCGGTAACTCTTAATTTTGTGAGGCTAAGGTTGCTGTGACAAAAGCTAGACATAATTTGAGGTTAACCTGGCTTTACGATTTTTAGTGTAAAGATGTACCAGGGTGTTGCTCTGTTGTACCTAGTTAGCAAAGCTGTTCGAGATTCAAAGCCAGGAGAGAGGGGGCTCGTTAAATATTTAGAATGTAGTTAGGTTTTAAATTAATAGAGCTATTTTTGTGATCATTAGAAGTCTTCTGATCACTTTGAGCATGTTGAGCTGCTAAGTAGGAGAAAAGAAGGAATAGGAAGGACTTGGTTTCCAGTTGCCGAAGGAATTTATGGAGACCCCCCCCCTGTTTTTTGTCTTTGGTAAAATGAGGTGTGAGCTCCTAAAGTACTGACTAAATTCAGGGGCCCACACTAGGTGGCCTGGAGTTTGTAGTGGAAGATTGAGAGCAGTGTACAGAAGTTCCTAGGCAAGAGATTTCTTTTAAAAAGAAAAAAATTGCTGTACCTTTGGTAGCAGTTAATCCCTCCGATGTGCTAGTATGTATTTTTCCAAAGTTTGAAGCCCCATCAGGTAGGATCACAGGACAGCACCAAGCCCATGGCAGCTTAGCCATTGCCTTTGTCCAGGCATTTTATAGCCATCGCTGGAAAATGGGAAAGAGACCTCCTCTTAACTTGTCAGGGAGGTAACCAGGTTTTCCCAGAAAAAGGTTAATTATTTCCTTGTTAGTGAAGAACAGGTCACATTTTGTTCTTTTTTTTTTTTTTTTAGTTGTAGATAGACACAATACCTTTATTTTGTTTTATTTTTATATGGTGCTGGGTATTGAACCCAGTGCCTCACACATGCTAGGCAAGCGCTCTACCACTGAGCCACAACCCTAGCCCACATTTTGTTCTTTTTAAGCATGAAACATGGAAAACAAATGATAAAGGATAGTATGAAGCCTAGTTATAAGCATCTGAGGTTTGTCTATTTGCTGACCACAGAGTGAGCTAAAGCAACATGCCTTTAACTGGATTGTATTTGGTAGCCACCTTTGGGAGTGCAGTTTGGATTTCTAGGAAGGGAAAAAATACTGAAAGTAACAGAGAAAGGTCAGCTGGTTTCTAGAAGCTGGGGGCTGGTGGACAGCCGCTCATGTCTATTGGAGGAGGTGGATTTTCAGGACGTTTTCTGACCTTTTCTTGTCTGTGTGGCCCACCTTGGACCTCTGTCATACAGGGGCTCAGTCTTCCTTCTTGTCCAGCCTCAATTAAAAGACGGCATCATCCATTCTAACTTCTAAATCTTATCAGAGCTGCACAAGCAGCTGGAAAGTTAGATCTCCGTAATACAACCTCAATGATAAGGGCTGTATGCACCCTGGAGAAGCCAGGGCTACAGCTGCTGCATTTCAGAGGTGTGAGATTCCTGGGAAACCTTGGGCTGCTTGTTTCTTGTCATTCTCTTTGCCACTTCCAGTTGTGGCTGCCTTTGAATGTTTTCTGTCAAAACAAAGGCAGTTGTAGGGTTGGGTATGCCTTTAGGAAAGTTTTGAAAAATTATGTTCACAGTTCCTAACAGCAGTCTGAAAGAGCTTGGCTCATGGGATTAAAAAAATTATGAAACAAATGAACAACAAGAACCAAAAACTCCTATAACTGCTAGTGCTCAGATTTAATAGTTTGCATTAATTAATAGAAAGAAGAGGGAGTGAGCAAGAAAATGAGCAGAAAGTATTTAAAGAGATCATCTGGTAAGAACACAGTGATTCTAAAATCGACAAATAAAACTGGAACCCGGGACAATGATTACCAGTCTCTGTACCTGGGAACTGTTCTGGCACAAGAGCCCAGTAAACTTGTCTGAACATCAAGTGTGCTGTGTAGACAGAATGAATAACTTGTCCTCTGTGTATGCTATTTGTATTTCTATGTAGAAGTTCTTAGCATTTATGCTGATGACTCTATTTGAAAGTTCATGTGGCTTTTAGCCACTATTTTCTTAATCAGACAAGAAGTGTATATAAAAAGAGAACTGATATAAAAAAGCATCCTACTCAGAAAGGTTGCAAACACTTATCTGAAAGAACATATTCTTTGATATTTATCCATAATGCCATTTTTGGGCAAATGAGAAAGTAATGAGATTCAATCTACCGGCAGGATGTTCCTAAGAAGCACCCACAGTGAAGAGTAGGAGGTGAACCAGTGACCAGAAAGAAAAGAGACCTTCTATCAGGACTTCTGACCTCCTTTGTAACCAGTGACCCACATTCAGAAATACCTTATCCTTCTTGATCCTCCTAGATACAAATATCTATCAGTAACTAAGCAAATTTTGTGAAACAGCTTATTCTTACTATGTGTGATGCACTCATATCTATTTTATGATATTCTGTTCCATTTCTTCTTTTCAAAATGCTTATCAAAGATTCAGTGACAAAAAAAAATGCTTATCAGGTACTACTGCTAAATGAATTTCACCACCTATACTTTGAAAACTCTGATTTATATAGTAAGTTCCAGAATCTAGAGTGGAAGCTCCAGGAGCAGTTGTTTTGTCTTTTTGTGGTTGTTCACAGCTATTTCCCCAAACATCTGGAATGGAACTTGACATTTGTGGCTCAACAAATACTTGTGGAATGAATGAATGAGTGAAGGAAACTGGTAAGGTCACACTTAGTTCACTCTGCACATGTGAGCACTGAGTCTAGGAGATACGGGTAGTATCTTCAGGTAACTAAATCGAGTGAGCCTAAGCTGGACTTGCCCTGTTCTTAGCTCTCAAGCCAGGGTTTGTTTTTGGACAACAGCATCTCAGCCTCTCGGTGATGGATGTTATGGAACAGGTTAGTCATTCAAGGCACAGCTTCTCCTTAGGTCAGGGGTTTTACTCTGGGGTGTTTTGCTGGTTCTTTATGTGCCACAGGTACCTGAGCATTCCATTCCACCTTTGGGTAACCCTCAGCACCAGTGGTCCCACGGCTGGTGTTGCGCTTTTCTCTTCCCCAACTCTGAACTCTTACTGAACCCCTGGTGAGGGTAATTCCCAGATGTTATTTATGTAGAATTTCTCTTCATCTTGAGAGTTTTCTAGGAAAAGTCAGGAAGACAGACCTGACTTTTCATACCTTTGGCTATGATTGGTGACTTCAGAAATTATGAACAATTTATAAAAACAAAATCTCACCGTTAAATGCTGCCATATTTTAAACTCAGAATAAGAGTGAAAAGTGAAACTGAGATGCTGGGGCTTATACTTCTCTTCATTTTGTTTTGCCCTTTTTGATTTCTACTTTGTCATTCCCATTTCTTCTTAGGGAAGTAAGTGGTTGTTGCATCTTACAAGGTTTTCGTCATTGGAAAGGTGTTAAATAACCTGCACATTTTACAAAATAAAAACCAGAGTGGAGCTGAAGAAATGAAGAACTCTTTATCCCTAGAGTGAAAATTTAAGGATGGAAGAGACTTCCTCTCTGGGCACCCCCACGTTTCCCTGTAGCTGACTTCTCCTCTGCAGAGTGTCCCAGCTACTGGTTTTACACTTGGTTTGGAAGAGGTGGTGGACTGATGAGGGGAGGAGATGGCTTTGAAGTAATTGAAGGTTTTTTTCCCCCATTTTTTAAAAAGTTGAAACAGATTTAAGGGTCAGGTTAGAAATATCTGGAAGGAGCAAATAAAACATTGGAAAATGTGTTGCGCCTTGGCGAGCTCTCCTTCCTTCTCTACTCTTGCTGTGAAGTTTTGGGAGGTGATTCTTTCTTGGGTGGGAAATTGACAGCAGTCCAGAGCCCTGCTTTCCCAGGATACTCGCCACTATCTGGCTCCCAAGCCCTCCTATCCCTTTTTGTCCTAGTACCCGCCTTTCCCTTCCTCTCCTTGGAAATGACCTTGATATCCCTCAGTTAAGCTCTTAAGGTTCCCGGATCTGCCCCAGATGGAGCAGATTGAGTTTTCTCAGCTTCACTGTTCCCTGCTTTACAGTGACTCGGTTTCCTCTCTCAGGTTTTTCCTCTCCTCACCATGGACAAATAATGGGGAAATGACAGCCTTGAGAATCCCAAGTTCCTAGGGCCCTTGCTTCTGCATTACCACCTTTGGAAGGTGATCAGCTCCATGGATCTTCAGATGTCCCTTGCCCTAAGTCAGTGGTCCTTGCCTGGGGCACTTTTGCCCCCTGGAGAGCATTTGGTTGTCACACCTGGTATAGATGTGGGGCTGGTACTGGTGTCTAGTGTGTGGAGGTCCTGATGCGACCCAGGGTAGGGTTTCCAGCACAGAGCGAATTCTGACTCAAAACCTGGTGCACATCCGAGAAGCCCATCTTCACTGAAGAGAACACCTTGGTGTGGGGACCCTCATGTTTTCCCCCACCTCTCCTGGGGTTTCATTACATCCATAAACAAAGAGCAAGGTGCAGAAAGCAGGAGCCCCAAACACAGACCTGTGGGGTTTAGCAGCTTTAACTTGTGACGTTTGGGGTATTGCTACTAAAGACACTTCAAACTCTATAGTATCTCTTTCTCTGTTTCTTGGTCTAAAAAGGTGTGTATTTCCTGTTTGTGATAAAATAAAACAATCCTAGAGACTAAATTTCTTATTCAGTCTCTTATCTTAAAGCCACTGTTGCCTCTTTGAAGACTGTGTAAGACATGGGGTATGCAATTTTCTTTTTTTGGCGGTGCTGGGGATTGAACCCAGGGCCTTGTGCCTGTGAGGCAAGCATTCTACCAGTGGAGCTATATCCCCAGCCCCTACAATTTTATTTTCTAAAGACATGTTGAACACTTAATTATACATCAACAAATTCTTTTTTGAGTAGATGGGTTAACACGCTGACCAGATGTCAGATACCTTAGGCTGGTTTTTTTTTTTTTTTGGCATCTTCTTTCCTCCTAGTTGAACCTTTTTGGGAGCAGCTGATATAGCCCTCCTTCTGTAATGTCACTTGTGCCCCACCTGTGTAACCATGGTGCCTTTGCCTTGTACACACTTCTCTGTAACACGAAGGGAGGCGGCCTGTCCAAA